CCTTTTATTCTAAATGACAACCTTGCTGGATAAAGTATGCTTAGCTGCATATTTTTCCCATTTAGCACATTGAATATATCATGTCATTTTCTTCTGACCTGTGAAGTTTCTGTAGACAGGTCTGCTGATTCTGTGTGTCTACCCTTGTTTGTTAAGGACCTTTTGTCCCTAGCTGCTTTTAGAATTCTCTTTTTATCTTTGTATTTTGCAAATTTTATTATGATATGCCTTGGTGTTGACCTGTTTTTGTTGATTTTGAGGGGAATTCTCTGTGCCTCTTGGAGTTGAATGACTGTTATCTTCCCTAAGATTAGGGAAGTTTTCAGCTACAATGCATTCAAATTATTTTTCTGCCCTCTTTTCTTGCTCTTCTTCTGGGACCCCTATGATATAGATAATATTGTGTTTATGGAATTGTTGAGTTCCCTGAGTCTATATTCATGATCTAACAGTTTTCTTTCCCTTTTCTTTTCAGCTTCATTATTTTCTGTAATTTTATCTTCTATATTATGTATACAAATTCAAATTATATATAATATTATGTATACAAATACAAATTTACATTTTCATTGTGATTACATCCAGTCAGTTTATATCTCAGTATGTCTGAAAGACATACAAGATGCAGACATATCCAAATGTGCAAAGAGATATTTTATTTACTGTGATGTTGGAAGGATTATCTACCAAAACATAGGGTTGTTTTTTTTTCCCCCTCCCATGCACACAGTCCCAATATAGTCCCATCTGGAGAGTTATGGTATTAAACTGAATTAAAGTTTTAACAGTAAGTATGATTTCTAGAGTTGAATGGTCAGCAGATATTATATTCTCCTTCTCTGATACTTAATCAGCATGACTTATGGAGCAATATTTAAAATCATTTTGGGTGCCTGGGTGACTCAGTCAGTTAAGCATCTGTCTTTGGCTCAGGTCATGATCCCAGAGCCCTGGGATAGAGTCCCACATCGGGCTCTCTGCTTAGTGGGGAGTCTGCTTCTCACTCTCTGTCTTCTCTCTCTCTCTCAAATAAATAAATAAAATCTTTAAAAAAATAAAATAAAATTAAGAGGTGAAATTGGTTCATTGATGAAGCAGACCTACACAAGCAAGCATTGCCAACTTCAGAGTAATTTTTCTGGGCTGGCAATAGGTATTAAGTGAGGACTAATATAATTCTAAAAAGGAATGGTCTATATGGAAGAGTTAAATGACTTGCATAGAGGCGTATGTAAGGAATAAATATTTTTCATGTCACCAAACTCTGGATACTCAGTTGAATTCAGCCTGGTAACAGGAGATGGCATATTAGGATTCAGGTAAAACCCCAATAATTAAAATGTGAAAAGAAAGTATTGCCAGAATTACAGATACCTACAAATTAGCTCAAATGTTAATCTTTGTATACATAATGAGGTTACATTTCAATGTTAACTGATGAACCAACACAGAGATTCTTGTTAATATAGTGTCAATTTGTAAGTCTCTGAAGTGACAATGCTTCCTCAGGGAGGTAAGACTTGTCATAACATGCAATATTCCTAAATTAATTAACCACTTAACAGAATTAATTTCCCCTTACACATTCATCCCTGCTTAACATTACTGTCTTCAACCATCATGCCATCATATTATTTACTGATACTCTGATATAGTAAACATTATTCAAATTCAATGTGAGACATTCTTGAGAAAGATACAATAGACTTAATATAGTTGATGAATGTCTTCTTGGAGAACTACTTGAAGGATATGTAAAGCCCCATTGACAAATAGGACCTGGTAGAGTTAGGACAATTAAAAAGTGAATAATAAATGAGAAAAATAAAAGCACATTCAATGGATAAGAGTTTGTACAATAAGAATTAGGAGGGACACTTGGGAAAATTGGTGGAGACTTTGGACATTTTACAAAATTGTCCCATTATTAGTATTCATTATTATCACTCCTTCAATTCAAAAGTTAAGTAAAGGTTGTATCTAGTTATCACATTTTATTCTTCTGGAAATTAAGGCCAAGAAAAATACTTGACACTTAACTCATTGTTTGCCAAATTTGTACACATTTGTGATTATAACTAAATTTTGGTTAAGTGTAAGATAGCATACTTATTTCCATACGTTTGTTTTGTTTTTCAAAATAATGTCCTAAACAAATCTCTTTTCTCCACTTACTGTGGAATATTGGTCAAGATTTTAAAAGGATTAATTTTATGCAAGTTTTCTTCCTATATCCAGCAGTATTTATGTGAAAACAGTCTGTGATTCAATTCTGCCCGGTAATCATTTCTGACATTTCAGACAGTAGCTTGTGCAGTTCAGATTTATTGCTTAGAGAAAGATCAGAGCACAACAATGTCAATCTCACTTGCTTTTTTTCCTAAGCATAACTGAAAATCCAGACAGAAGGAATAGACTGAGAAAACCTCATTTTTTTGTTGTTGTTGTTTATTTATTTATTTATTTATTTATTTTATTTTATTTTTTTAATTTTTTAAAACCTTGTTTTTAAGGACTGTTCCAAAGTATAAATTTACTTCATAAAATTAGATTTGGGAAGCATTTATGATAAGGTAAGAGCTAGGTATCACCCTAGAAATTTAGATGTAGTAAGTTGGGGGATTAGAGGAAAGTCATAAGGAAATACTTAGTGTTTGATGAGATGGTATTCTATAACTTACATTCCTGGGGGGTGTTCTGGGAATTAGATGGAAAGACAATCAAATGCCCATTGAATTTTGGAGAAATATGGCAAGAGGAACTTTCCAGAGGGACCCATGATAGCTTTCAAAATCTTACACTAAACCCATACTGAGCATCATCAGAAGTGTAAAAATGGTGCCCTTCAGTCTTCTTGTGGACCTTTCTTTCAGTTAGGTGCTGGGGTATATCAATTATCCAAATACCAGTTTTTCCATCTTCTTAAATATCCTAGACAGGGAGGTCAAGAGAAATTACTCAGAAATTAGCAGAGGGAGAAAACAAGAGAGACTGAGCCAGCAGACTTGACAGAAGACTTGTGAAATTAAAAAGTAAGGGTTTAGGTGAAATCATGTTTCCATGTCTAGCATGGGGACTAGATATGAACACAGAAATAAAAAATGAAAGTGGAATCAAGAGATAACCAAAAAGTCAAAGAAAATCAAACATCTCAAAGGGATATAGCAGGGACAAAGCTCAAACTGTAACATGACACCTGTCTTTAATGACATATCAGACAAGTACCTATACATTTAGATGCACTCAAGGAAGGGTGGTGGTAGGGTTGGGTAAAGCTTAAATTGATGGGGTTTAAATTAGAAACCACAAGGGGCACCTGGGTCTCAGTCAGTTGAGCCTCTGACTCTAGGTTTGGGCTCAGGTTGTGATCTCAGGGTCATGAGATGGAGTCCTGAGTTGGGCTCCCAAATCAATGTGGAGTCTGCATGAGATTCTTTCCTCCTCTGCCTCTGCTCCTCCTCTCACTTTTGTGTTCTGTCTCTAAAATAAATAAGTAAATATTTTTTTTATTTTTTAATTTTTTTTAAATAAAGTATTTTAAGAAAATAAATTAGAAACAACCAAGAAAGATCTTGAAATGTCTCAATTTCAAATCTTAAAATGTCTAATTATATGGCATTAGCTAGATTAGATTTTTTTTTGGAAGTTACAAATGGAAACAAAGTGATTATAAATTTGTATTCATGAGTTAGGGGATTGGAAATATTGCATCTATGTTCCCACAAATTTTTCTAAATGGATTTAACCTCTTGATTTTCCATGTGAAGTCAGCTTTAGTGGCTGGCTAGCCTGGACCAGAGCTGTAACCCATCAATTGCCTTTTGGGAATTTAGATGTGACCTCAGAGCATCAAAAGAAGAGATAGAAGGGGAAATTTTTCTTTTTGATATGGGTCCTCCTTAATCCAGAAATTAGTCATTAAAATCATGACAGTGTTCTATTACTTAAGAAGATGGAAAAGCTGGTATTTTGGCAACTGATATATCCCAGAGTAGTGTTTCTACACAGCAAGGTCTCAATAAATCTATGTTGAATAAATAAACAAAAAGTAGTTCTTTAATTTTGACATTAAAATCATTTAATTCTAAAAAATAAATAGATAAAATCACTTAATTCAACCTACATTCCACAGCTTCAGGTTTTGCAATGGTGAAAAGAAAAAAAAAGGAATTATTGTAGATAAGCCCTACCCATAGTTGAACAATCATAGCTTCATGTCTGTATATGATACAGTATTGCCCTCATTATTGAACCCTTTCCTCATCTCTCAAGAAGGAGGTTAGATAAGTTCAATGTAGCTCAATGAGAATGGAAGCTCTCAAATCTTATATGAATTTTGTGTTATGGCATCTTTATGAGTGTACATATAGGAATAAATAACTCTTTCTGAAGATAACTACTCCTGAAGTTGACATTCTGTGTTTATTTTATATTATTTAACTCTTTTGGAACTTTAACTTGGAAATATAATACTCACTTTTATTTGATAGCTTCATTTTCTTACTACCTTTATCCTAACTATAGTGTCCTCCACAATGCTATTAAGACTACTTCCTCAAAATTTACTTGCTTCAACTTTGTCTCTCATGGTTGTGAGTGATTTCATTGGTTGAAGGTTCACATGTCCCTAATCATCCTAACTGGAGTGCTCATACTCCGTGCTATTAAGGTAAACTGCCTGTAAATGTTAAACAGAATTCTCCTTTATGTGTGCAACTGATATTGTTTTCCTTTTGGAGGTTGATAATCCCAATCCCTGATGCTGAAACTACCCATGAACTTGGCAACATGTGCAGCTCTTTCTTGAATAAATTACAAATTTGGTTTTGATTTTTGTTACTTTGAGTTAAGATTTAGCAGTTTTCTCTTTCCTGTATATTTTCTCCCATATGTATTGCTTCCTAAATTGATTTTATTATTATATATTTTAATATTTTACATATAATTTGTGCATTTTCTCTGTGTAATTTCACTTGGAAGTATTTTCCACCTTTAAATCATTAAGTTATAGTAGATGTCATTTGTTTCCAACTTTCATGAGATCTTTTTTTCTTCAGAATTTTTCTCAAGACATTATTACTTCCTTATTTCTTAGGCTATAGATGAAAGGATTTAGTAAAGGAACTACTATTGTAAACAACATCGCAGCTGGAATATCCCTATCACCTTCTTTAAGCAAATTTGGTCTAATGTACATGAAAAAAAGAGATCCATAGAATAATGAAACGGATAAAAAGTGGGATGCACAGGTAGACAAGTCTTTGACCCTTCCTTCTTTAGATTTCATTTTGAAAATAGTAAAGAGAATGTAGAAGTAAGATATTAAGACACTGCTTATGCTGAAGACTTGAATTGAGCCTGAAAAGACAAATAGTACCAGTTCATTGATATAAGGGTCAACACAGGAGAGTCTGTATAAAGGAAGAATATCACAATAAAAGTGGTTAATGTGATTAGATCCACAGAAAGCTAACCTAAACAGAAACCCTACATGAATCATGGAATGCAGGTTTCCAGCTATGTAGGCCCCTGTGGTCATCTGAACGCAGAGTTTCTTTGACATCATGGTGTGGTACTGCAGTGGACTGCATATGGCCACATAGCAATCATAGGCCATTGCTGCCAGGAGAAAGCAATCTGCAGTTTCAACCGGCAAAGAAAATAAAATTGTGCCATGCATTCATAGAGGGAAACCACTCTGTTCTCAGAAAAGAAGTTCCCTAACATCTTAGGAGTAATGGCACAGGCGCAGCAAGAATCCACAGTAGCCAAGTTGCCCAGAAAGATGTACATTGATGTGTGAAGATGATGCTCTTTTGAAATCAGTATCACCAGGCCTAGATTCCCCACCATGGTAATCAGATAGATGACAAAGAACACCACAAACAGAAGGGTCTTTAACTCCGGGTTATCTGTAAATCCTGTGAGGATAAACTCAATTTTCATGGTATGATTTTCTTCAGTCATTCCTGACTTCTCTGTTGAGAAAAAAATTGTGGATAAATGAGGTACTAATTTATAATATGTCCAATTTGACTGCTAAACTAACTGGTTTAGAAGGACGAGGAGCATATTTTTCAAGGCTTTCATGGTTTATGTGGACATGGCACATGCCCAGTTCTGGGGTAGTATCAATCTCCTGAAGCTATTACCTATGTAGCTACCCTTTTAACATTCTTCCAGCATATTTTCAAGAAAAATAACAGATTATATGCACAGGGATGGCTTATGAGGTCTTAAGAGGAATATTCAGTACAAACAACTTCTTTATATGGGTTAGGTAAGACTGATTCATAATTTTAGTGCCAGCAATTAGCATCAGTGTTCTCAAACAATTTCAGTAACTATATATGCACTGATTAACAATGATATTGAAAAAACTATTTCCTACACTCATGTTCAAAGGAGGATTATTCACAATAATGAAAGCTGGGAACAACCCAAATGTCCATTGATGAGTGAATGGATGAACAAAATGTGGTGTATATGTACAATGAAACATTATTCAACTTGAAGAAAGAATGAAATTCTGACACATGTTAAAACATGGATGAAACTTGAAGATGTCATACTAAGTGAAATAAATTAGACACAAAAGGACAAATGTTGCATGAATTAAAGTCTTACTTACATGAATTAAAGTCAAATTCATAGGGACAGAAAGTAGAATGATAGTTGTCAGCATGAGGAAGGAAATGGGTGGTTATTGTTTAATATGTATGGAGTTTCATTTTGGTATGATAAAAGAATTCTGGAAACAGTGAGGATGGTTACAAAAAATATAAGTGTACTTAATACCACTAAACTATATACTAAAATATGAGTAAAATTTTATTATGCGTATTTTAGCACCATAAAAATTTTTTAAAAGACTATTTTCACTTGTAAATTCTTAGCAATTTATTGTCATCAATGATAACAGAATATACATTTAAAAATAAAGTGCTTTTTGGGTAAAAGTGAGCTATTTCAGAGGTATTTAAAATTGTGGAGGTTGGGAAGGAAAGACATGTGGATGGAAGCATACAGGAAAGAGAGGAAGAGAGAAAAGAAAAAAAAAGGCTGAACATAAAATATCTCAGGTCATTTATAATACTATTTATGCATGCAATGTAAAGTTTTTCATATATGCATGAGAAATTTAAATGCTATCAGAAGAAATTGGAGAAATTGTAAGGGTTAAAAATTGATAAATTTAATTATTTAACTATATGTCAAAAACATCATGAGTAAAATCAAGTGTCAAATGCAAACTGGCAAATTATTGCAATAAATATAATGTTTCTATAGTTTTTTTCTAGAAATAGCTTATAGAAATCAGCAGGAATAATCACTAGAAAAAAGATAAAGGAAAGGAACAGAAAAATCTCAAAGGAAATATAATTAAAAAAATAAACATTTTTTTTCACTACTAATCAGAGAGACATTATTTTAAGTTATGAGGACAAATTTACTTTGCTTATCAAAATTGAATTTTTTAAAAAAGAAACGACAATTTATAGTGTTGTCTAAAATACAGTGAGATGGGAACTCAAATGCATGCCTAGTAGAAGTATAAACTGGTATAATCATTGGAAAATAATTTGGTAATAATGTAATGAAACTCTTAACTGTTCATACCCTGTGACAAGTAACTACGAATCTCACAAAAAAATAATTAAAACCTCAGATAAAGACTTACATATAATGGTGTCCATTGTAAAGTAATTTATAATAGTGAAAAATTTTAAACATCTAAATGGTAAACATTAGCTCAGTATGATTAAGTATGAATCATCCATGTGATGGTATATTGTGCAATCATTATTTAATATTTCGTTTAGTGATAAAAGAGACATAATAAAACATGTGAAAAATAAAATATAATGTTCATATACAAAATAATCCTAATTTTCCAAATAAATACTTACTATGAATGTAAAGGAAAGGCAGCACAGAAACACATCAAAATGTTAATACTGGTTTTCTCTGTGTAATGGGAATTATAGGTCACTTTTTTCTCTATGTTTTCCTCTATTTCAAATTTTCTGCAATAAATTTTGATTTTATAATCAGAATATAAAAAGTTTTTAAATTTTTATTTTTTTATCTGACAGAGAGAGAGAAAGAGAGAGCCAAAGCAGGGGGAGGGGCAGGCAGAGGGAGAGGGAGAAGCAGGCTCCCTGTGGAGCAGTGAGCCTGATATGGGACTCGATCCAGGACCCTGGGATCATGACCCAAGCTGAAGACAGTCGCTTAACCAACTGAGCTATAAGGGGTTCCAGAATACAGGATTTTTATTAAATAATTTCAATGACATGCTATGTTTTATAACTTATTACCCCGCAATATCATTAGGGATCTAATTAATGTTTTCTGCACTTTACAGTTCTATTGTTGATAACATCACGATGGAAGTATTGAGGAAATATTTGTTCCATCTCTGTGACCGTGACATTCACGGTTATAAATAATAATAATTCGCTGACAATCTTGGATGTATCTTGAGTCATTCAGGAATAGAGTCACATCTTGTGGTAATGTATTCTTAAGGAAACTTTTCTCTGTGTAAAACAATGACTCTTTGGTGTCAAGTTTTATTATTTTCAGTGTCAAGCGTTTCCATGATATATTAAGCTTCTGTAATTATTAAACTTTGAGTATATTTTTAAAACTTTGAAGAATGTTTTTTCACTCTCCCTTTGCTTATTTTAGTGAATTCAAGAATCATTTGTTCATTGGCCTGGTATTTACTAAACGACTGCTTTGTACTACATACTTTCTTAGAGGGTCACCTGATCCTCTGGACATTTCCACATTGATAGTTTTCTGGATATTCATTGACCATAACCACACTTTGTATTCCAGGAACTGAGGAAAGGCATTTTGGAGAGATGTAAGCAGATCTTTTCCCTTTTGCCTTCCTGAAAATATTATTAACTTTTAAATCTCAGACTATTTTGGATTGATTCCTTTAGGAGCAATATTTAAAAATAAAACACTTGAAGTTCTTATACTTTAATTAGTTTTTCATTAAAATGACTTAATGTTGGCAACCTGAAGTCTAAAAATGAATATTTTAAATCTATATAATTTGAATAACTTTTTCATTTAATGCCTTACACTTGCCAGCTTAAAGTTACATAAAACAATAAGATTTCCTTCAGTTTTCCTGGTTGATTATAATTAGTCAGACAGAAGTAAGTTTTACATTGATATTTTTATTTCTCTAAGAATCAAAAGGGAAACTAGAAAGTTCCCTCAAATTACATCAAGATATTAAAAGAATGGCTTAAAATTATAGCTGATCCTTGAACAACACAGACTTGAACTATGCAGGTCCACTTAAGCTTGGATTTTTTTTTCAAATTGTAAACGTATTTTCTCTTCTTTATGATTTTCCTAGTAAAATTTTCTTTTCTCTAGCTAACTTTATTGTGAGAATACAGTATAACATAAAATATGTGCTAATCTACTGTTTATGTTGTCAAAAAGGCTACCAGTGAATAGTTCTGGTTAACTACAATTATGGTAAAATTTAGGGGTCAAAAATTATATGTGAATTTTCAGTTATACATGGGGTCAGCATCCTTAGCACCTACATTGTTCAAGGGTTAACTGTACACTTCTTTCTTATAGAATTTGTTTAATATATAAGGAATGTCCAACACAAACAGTTTAAGCACCATTTCATTATAGAGACTAATAATCTATTTAATCTGTTAAGTTTTAAGTTACATTGCAAACTATATTAAAGAAGTTTCAAAAATACTGTTAATGTTTTCTGTTATTACTATAAATATATGCCTTTACTTGTTTATTTTTGGTAAATTTAGGCTTCTCTTAAATTCAGGAGTGATGTAAATAAGTTATAGCTATTTGTATAATTCTTGCATAATAGAATCTACACTAAAGGAAAGACTTAAAAGAATTTAAAAGATTGAAAAATAAGAATTGCAACCAAAAAAACCTTAAAGAATTTAAAGAAATGTTTCTGGAGGTTAATATTTCCATAAAAAAAAAAAAACAAAACAAAACAGATTTTAAATACTCGCTCACCTGGATTTACCTGTTAAGAGTTTTAGAAAAACTAGTTGGTTGTCTGGTGCTGATTTTTAAAGTAGATCCAGAAATAAAACTCTATTGTTCTGAATGTTTGGGAAACTATTTCTATCAAAAGGTCAGTGATAATATTTATGTCATTGATAGAGAATGGTTTAAAAATTTAAATAATTCTGAAGGGATTTACTTGGCATTGGCATCAAGTATAGCCTGAGAGACCTAATTTTTTAAACATTGCAGACACACTGAATGGGAATAATTAAATGTATCCTTTGAGACCCAGAGAGTAAATCAAAGCCTATTTCCAAACAAATTTTAAAGGCTGTGTTTTGATTTTAACTTACTTGCATTTATAACATTTATCCTTTTCATCAATCTGAAAATAAAAATTCTAAGTGGAAAGAAAAAATTTCCACTGGATTGGTCAGTAAAGGATCATAGAAGAAGTGAAAACTAAGCTAAGATTTGTTGCCACAGAGAGAAGAAGATGTGGAGTGAACAGGAGTCATAAAGTAACACCTTTCCCACCTTTAAAAAAAAACAATATACAACTTCTAGAGTCTTCCTTTGAAAATATATTCATAATGTGTTTAATTTTCCATCTTAGTTACTAGAATAGACTTTAATTTTTTCTTGCAAATCCAGAAGCAGCTTCTCAAAAAGCTCCTGTCCTCAAACTACTCCCTTATTTAGGACTCTCCTATCATTTATAGTGTAATGAATCCCTATTGTCCATCAACCTCAAACTCAATTTATTTGGTTAATTATTTATCTTGATTATCCTCATTTTTCATCGTTTGAGCTTGTTTTCTCTCTTTATATTCCACTCTCCCTGTGTACTATTCCTATGCCAAGCTCTTCTCTTTAGTGAAAGTAAGTCACTTTCATCCTTCATTTTGTGCCTTTTGCCTCATCTGTATTATGTC